CAAATACGAGGCCACGTATAATGCACTTACCGTCCCGAAAATTCCTCCTGGCTTATCTCTGCCCGGGAAAAAGTTTGCTCGGATTTGGCAGACTCGTAAAATCGCATGGATATTTTTTTTTCTCCCCCCTTCTTTTTTTTTTCTTTTTTATCTGGCAGTTTTGCAAGGTTTGTTATCAACGAGCGCTCCAAGATTTGAACGTGAAATACCGGCTTTTTTTACATGTGTACAAAGCCGATTGTTTAAACTATCGATCGAACTTGTGCCCCGTGGTGTATTCACGCTTATTGATTTTTTCTTCTTTCCTTTTTTTTTTTTTTTTTTTTTTTTTTTTTCATCTGAGTCTCGACGAAATGAATATATATATAGAAAACTCGACGACTATGACATAAGAGTGACGCGGACGATGCACGNTTTTTTTTTTTTTTTTTTTTTTTTTTTTTTTTTTTTTTTTTTTTTTTTTTTCTTTTGAGCGAACGCACTCTGCTAACAGTTCTTGAATCGCACGCGATTTTCTCCCTCTCAGCAAAAGTCAACAGCTTTCGACGAAAGCCCGCCGATTTATTAAGACCGCAACACCGTTAGTCACTCTTACAACGTTACAAATCATCGAAGCAACACACTTCCTTCCATTCGTCCCATTTTCCCCGATGCCTCATATTTCATCGCGTTGTCGCATATTGAACGATAAACTCGCCGTACGGTATGTTTCAGTTACTGACGATACGGATTCGTATCTTGTCGAGCTTATTCTTGATATATCTCTTCGATGGTCAATTTTTTGCTGACACGACACGATCTCGAAAGCGGCAATTTTCGCGACGGCACGAAACATGGAACATCTTGGAAACGATCGTGTCGTGTTGCAAAAACAACTTCAGTGGTGGCAAATCGAACGTTTCCAAACGCTTAATTTCGCTATGCACTCGAAGTTGTTGAAATTTATTAATTTGGCCAGTGGAGTATTAGTTCGTAATTAGTTTTAATATCGTCTGAATTGAATTTCTGATTTTATAGACACTTGTTCACTGTTCACTAGCTTTATTTTTTTCTAGAACTTTCTTCGTTGTACATGTCGTGTAATATATACAAAATAAGTCCTTGAATGTCGTCATCACTCACACTTTGACACGCTTAACATGTACGCGTATATGGTTGGCAATCATATTCTAACAGCAGTAAATCACGAAAACGACTCACATGGATCCGTAAAGAGTTGTGGAGAAAAAAAATTTTAATGAGCAGCGCACCAAAGAGATTAGAAAAAAGAAATTCATCAGATAATGATAGAAACGAAGCAACAACATCTGTGTGCGACGTATTCATTTAGCTTAGGGCGTCCACAAATAATAATATACATTTTACAAATATCAAATTTACAGCAGATAAATTCGAAGCAACGGAGGACTTTTAGAAATGCTATTGCAAATTTGATCGGAAAGCCGGTACCCCGCTTAAACTCTCTGCCATCTTAGTGGCACAAACCACTTCGCTTCAAGGTGAATTACTTCGAAATATTTTTCGAGCGACCCCGAAAAAAGAAAAGACGAAACGGAAAAATGCGAAGAGTACACGAACCGATGGGGAGATTGAAATTCTTCGTTGGCTGTAAGAGCGAGTTATCGGCAAGACGAATACGAGAAGTGGTTCAAACGAAGCGTACGAGATATTGGGTTCACCGTCAATTTTTCCGTACGAGTAAAACTAAAACTGGGCGAAAAATGGCGCAAAGCCGGAAATATTTCGATTCTTTTTTTTTTTTTTTTTTTTTTTAAAAATGCAATTTCCATGCCCGTGGAAATAACTGTAAAAAAAATGGAACATCGAACGTGGATTAAGTCCAATACGATGGTATTATAACGATGACGTATTAGCTACGCAATGTAACCGAAACCGTTATGTAAATCAAGTTCGATCTGTAGACTCCGCAAACTCTGTAACGAGTCGCGATTGCTGGCAATAACCATAATTGGACTTTGCATTGTTCATGACAATCATGCTATGGTCACGGTATTTTAGTTCAATCCGTGAATTATTTCCTCCCGCTCCGTTTACAAAACTCATAATGCTTGTAAAGTGAATGCTGACCGAGTGAAGCATTACTGCGATAAATGAAAGTTTTGTTTGTTCAAAACACTTAAACGTTTTTGTGAAGATGTATAATAACAATAAACACTCATAGAGGAGAAGATGGTAATATGGTACCCTTGGTTCGCAATTATTTTTCTTAAAATCCGATTAACGTGGAATAGTAATTGTACAAATAGCAACGAACGAGAAACAATTTAATTGAATTTAAGACACATATACTATGGAAATCGTTTTAGAAATTTGAGCGAGAGTTGGATTTTATATGAGCGATAAAAATATAATTCCTTGATAACGTTCAGGGAATAAAAATGAATCAATAAACTAAATTTTGCCCTTTCTAAACAGAAGTCTGATAGTTTTCACAATGTGCGCATTCATTACGAATCTATAATGCACAAATCAGCCTTGTGCCTCAGTTATGAGAACGATTTTCCCATGTCCACAGATACTGAGTTTGAACTTGAATAATTTTCGAAAAAAAAAAAGAAATAACACCTTCACTTCTCACCTTCTATATATATGTAGAAATATTAAAAAAAAAAGAAAAGACAGTGAACACATTCTGAAAGTACAGGCTTCTCGTTGAAATGAGTGTAGATTGATTGCCATGTGATCCTTTTTCACGAATTTGAAATATCAATTTTCAGCGAGAATTCAAGTGTTCGGAAACTTATAGATGGTAATTGCGTATCTTCATTTTAAAAAAATGTTTAAATTAAAATAAAATAGAAATAGAAGGCAATTGTAGTTTTAAATAAAAATAAAATAAAATAACAAAAAACAATAATAAAATAATCCAAAACACAATGTGCATGATACAACACGTTTTATGTAGCAGTAATTGAAACGCTATCACTACACTATCTACAAATCTAAATATTATAGACAATTTATGAAGTTATTGAGAAAAAAACAATTGCTGATTATCGTGTCTTTCAAACATTACTTTCAAAAAATCGTATTATACATCTAATAAGTTAAATTTTTGGTGTAGTAAAAAAAAAAAAAAAGAAGTATAATAAATACCAGAATAGCAAGTAAATTAATTTCTGTTACAAATTTATGATTTCTGTCACGAAGTTGACCGTTTACGAATGAATTAAATGCTACACATATATTTTCCATTGAATTCCGAATATTTGCGAATATTCTCGTAAAAAGTATAAACGTTTAACATTTCTCTATGAAATTCATTTTCAAGAGTTCTCTAACGACGTTTGTACATAAAATGTTAAAATGATTTTTCTACAAAATTTTTATTGAAATTGCTTACTGTTTGAATACACGAAAATGTCGATTGTGTTTCGCTAATAGTCGTCACCGGAAACTATTGATACAAAATATTGTTGGAAAAAATTCTTGTACAGAGACGCAGAAAGAGTTTTTGTCAACTATATGACAAAACGGCGGGCATTAATTTTTCACATTTTTCCTCCAAGTTGTTCAAAAGAAAAAGGAATCTATTCACTCACGATGAAAGTATTCAAATGCACCGGCAGCTGGAAGAACCTTTTTCTTTTTTTTTCTTTCCTCGCGAGAGGATTGAACTCAACAAAATGTAAAATGTAAATCTTCTCCGCTCCTTTTAAGAACCGTTGTTGGTGCGATTTAAATTTTCTATTTTCTATTCGCTCTTTATCTTTACCGGAAAATTCTACGGCAACTGTCATATCCTTCATTTATATACCTAACTGTTATTAACGTAACAGTTATTCAATCATACTGGCGCGAGCGCATGATACAAAATCCACGCCACCTGTCACTTTCTCTCAACTTTCCGAAACGCGACATGTATTTGCCAATCATTTCGACCTCCATTCATACAGCGAAACGCGCGAACTGTGGACAGAAGGGCTTTTCGCAGCGTTGCAAACTTTACGTGATAATTATGTAGTGTCCATTAATTGTCACCGAAATATCGAGTAATTAACGCTGCGGAGAAAATATACACACGACTGTACGAGAGATTGAATGTAAGCGCAACAAGTGCAGCGTTTTTCTCGGCGAAATATTTACGAGTGGCGGTTCTCGGAGCCTGCTTCTCGTAAGCTTTCGTCTCCTTTTGTAACGAGTCAAGATGAAACCACTCTTCCTTTAATACGCCTGTCACAGATATCGAAAGAGAAATAATAAAGACACGTCGAAATGTTTGACGTTGAAACAAAAAAAAAAAAAAAAAAAATATAACGGAGTATCGAGCATCGCGTCAAGTGCACAAAAGAAGCGGACCATTTTTCAATGATATTTTTTGGGAGCGACCTTTAAATATCCGGCCGCGTATATCCTGCGGCGATCGGAACACAGAGCAAAATGACCGGCGTTTTGCTTTAATGGTTGATTGCTAGTTTGAGTGATTAGTTTTTATACGCGCGATCGATGAAAAAAAAAAAAAAAAAAAAAAAGAAAACCAGCGCCGGCAAATTCCCGTCGAAAAATTCATGCTCAGGGTGGTATTATGCTCATCGAATTTATCCCGGTGGATAGTTCAGTTTTTAGAAAACTACACGCGACCGGCGCAACACAGGAAAATGGAAAATCGAAATGACAAAGTTCAAGCGATAACAACCCCATGAAGGTCTTTCATCCGTGAGGAATTCGGCGGCAGATAGCCATAACCGGCGAAGGTAACGGAGGTGCAAACTGCCTTGTTAAGAACGATATTGCAATATCCAGCAATTCCGAATCCATATTTCGACTCACCGATAAAAAGAAAAATAGGCAAAAGAACGATTAGGTTAAGCTGGGACGAACGTCATATACAGGGTGTCCGTAAAGTCTCTTTACAATTTCAAAAATTTATTACAAAGGCAATTGATGAGATATCTTCGTCAGATTTGTTTTATATACTCAGTGGTTATCAAAGTTTTTATCACACTGCATTTCAGGTACCCTGTCGATGAATAAGATACTGTTAAATGAACTTACAAAATGGCTGTTCCTCAAGAGAAGGTACAGTGTGTATCATGGTTTATTGAAACCAAATCAAATCTGCAGACTCAGAAACTTCAGAACTAATTGTAAGTATGGAAGAGATCCACCGTTACGTCTATCAATTCGTGCATGGCACAAGAAATTTATGGAGACGGGGACAGTGTTCGATAAAGGGAGAAGTGGACGACCAAGAACATCTGAGGAAAACATCGATCGTGTAAGAAATCGAGTAACGTCTTGGTGTGCTTCGTGCAACTAATGGTGTATTAAATGAGGCAGAAGAAACTTAAATATTTACGTCTCATTTCGTAATAATTTCCACTTACTCCGTCTTTTCATTTTCCTTTGTAATAAATTTTTGAAATTATAAAGAGACTTTATGGACTTTATGGACACCCTGTATTTCTAAACGAAAATTTCACAATATCCAGAATCCAGAGAAATCGTGCACTCTTTTTATTGTTTGAATTCGAACTGCAAAATCTTCCAACTTTCGTTTCAATTCGTAGAACATGCAAACACAGATTACACATCTCGATAACAGTTTCATAGCGCAATTACAGAACTCGCTAAAGTAAATGTTCTTTACACCAAACTTTCCAGTAACAAGCTACGAACGATAATTGACGTAGTTTGTGCCGCTGATAAAGCCATAGCTTTTCGAAATACGTCGATGTTCAGTTGGCAAATAATTCTTCTAAAAGCATTCGCTCAGATAGTTAACGCGTAGTAATTAACTTGTCGCTCCCATTAGCCGTTTGGCCGTAAATTAATAACATCTGTTTGCTAATAGTTTTGAAACTATTTGGCCGTCCTTTTGTCTGTATCGCGTTAATTATTATTAGTTTGCGATTTGCTGCGCTGTGTGATCAACTGGCATTATTTGATGAACGCTCAATGCCAGAGAACAGTACCAAGAATTATTGAATATTCGCGATGCAATCAGTAGATACGACGCGACGTCGCGGTGCGACGTGTCTACGCATTCCGACTGTTTCGACTATTTGGTTTTCCCCAGAATTTGCTTAATGCAAACAAGCAAGACATTAGACGGATGTGGAACGTAAACAGCGAAGAGCACAACTGAATCACGATGAAAAATTTTGCCGACAATTTTAATTGTTATAACTTTGTAAAAAAAAAAAAAAGAAAAAAATGAAGAAACAATCATGTAACGATACCTTTCATCTCGTTTTAAAGTGCAAGATCTCTAGTTTCACAGTATCAAGTCCGTTTTTTTTCAAAAGATGATTTTACATCATATAATGGATGGGAAAGTAAAGGTTTTCTCAAGGCTTTTTCTCAAAAATTGTAAAAATTCGAACGTCTCTAGAAACGATAAAAGAAAAGACCGAAATCTCAGAACTTACTGTATAATTTTTTCTCGCTGTTTTATTGAATTCTGAACATTAGAATTTTTTGAATTTTATTGAACATTGCATAGCATGTTCTAAAGACTTTGTTGTTGAGATTTTATTCTTCTTAAATGTTGATGGACATAATTTTTCAATGTTTTCGGAGGTGCTTGAATTTTTACAATCGTCGAAAAAAAGTATTCTCACATGTCATAAAATTATTTGTGCAAAAAAATGAATCTAGAACTACTAGAAGTCAAAGTAAAAATTCTATACTTCGAAATGAGATCAATTAGAGTGCTATACATAATCTTCTTTTACAAAATTATAACTAGACAGCGGTTTTTTATGTACTTGTGCTAAATTTGAGAAATGCAAAGATGCACAGAATGCAGATAATATGATCAATACATAAACTGAGAGATAAAAGTACGTAAAAGTGAAAAATACTGTGCAAAGTGAAATATTTATTACTCATTGTCAGTTGATGAAACAAATTTCCATTTAGCTTCCATCTCTTTAATTATGTTCAGAGAAATTTAAAAACGCATGAAAATCCGCTACCTAATTAGTACAGTTTAAATAATCGATCATTTTTCATCGTTACTCATTCGATTATGCTCTTTACTATACGTAAATATTTGTAAACACGAATCAGTTACGTTTATTTGAACGTCACTCATAATTCTTTACGAATGTGACGAAGCACTAAATATAGCAACAAATGTACAGTTTGTATTATCCCAATGATGATGAACTAACTAACGATCGAATCAGTTCGGTGAAAATCTATCTTTGTAATCTGTAAATGCAAATGATAAACGAAATAAATGAATTTGAAATTTCATCCAACTGTTTGTTGAATTGGATTATACAGAAGATTAACAGTCGAGAAAAATAGTTATTATGCACACCATGTATGTTACACGTTTCTGCCTAGGTCGTAATGGGGATTCTATTTTCTCTCTTCGTCATCTATTATCTCTTTTACTGTATAAAGTTTCAGCATATTTATATATCAGAGAATTGTAAATTTATTAATAAACGATTGGAAAGTTTGAAAAACCTGGCTCGAATATCTCTGTGTAATATCATGTTGTGTCAGTTTTTGTTTCGTGATAATTTAAAACTGTTCATCATTTATCATGGCCGCTGGCACAAATGAACACGTACTGCAGTTTGGTCACTGCACATGCACGAGCAATTTACAAGAAATTTGATATATAACATACATATATATGTTACACGCGCGTGATTTCCTTTTTTTTTTTTTCCTTCTTCATTTTCAAATGCAATCGGAACGCCACGTTACTCGACACCACGCTCGCGAAACGCGCAAGTACTTACACGCTCCCCTTTCTTATTTCCGACGATCGAACAGTTTCGAATTTCTTCCATAACATTTTTCTCCGTTTCCCAATCCCATTCGGTCCCGGGGAGCATTATTTTTCGAGGTATTCCCGCGCATAAAAGACCTTTCAAGCTTTCGCCAGTACGTTCACGGTCGATGAAACAAGGGGGAGAGGGCGGCCGCGAACGATTCTGCCTTTCGATCAGTATGTTTGGAAAGCTACGTTCAATCGTCTGCGCGGGAGGTCGATAAATGGTAGCTGATAGCACAACATGGCGTCGAATTATAGCCAGGTGTTGTCGCTTGTTCCTCGGTTAAACAATCTCTTATTGCCAGCCAATAGCGCGGTAACAGCCAATTGTTACGAGAGGCTTCACGCGGATAATTATAAGCTAGGGAATGTAATCGTGTCGACGCTTTTTACGTAGAAACAAGACACGAGACCGAACTATAGTGGCTAACGAAGATATTCGGACACCAGAGTGCGTTTCAATAAATCGTCCTATATCTTAATTATAAACGAAGCAAACAAGTTCATTTTCTTTTTCACCTGATGTGCCGTTTACTGTAGTTAACAAAGATATAAAATTGATTTCACTAATGCGTTGTGAGTAACGAAAATAATCGGACGCTCTCGAATGAAAAGTGTGACACGTAAAAAATGTGAGTTCCATTGCGAGTTACAAAATAATTTTATTCCTGTAGCAACGTACAGGTGTCACAGTTGTACATGTTAAATTTGAATTGTCATCGACAACGTCAACAATATACTTATGAAAGATTTCCTGCCAACATCGACTTCATCGAAGATATTATGGACAAAAACAAGCACCTCGACATATTGAAGAATAAATTAATTATAAACGAAGCAAACCTATATCTTAATTATAAACGAAGAAAACAAGTTCATTTTCTTTTTCACCTGATGTGCCGTTTACTGTAGTTAACAAAGATATAAAATTGATTTCACTAATGCGTTGTGAGTAACGAAAATAATCGGACGCTCTCGAATGAAAAGTGTGACACGTAAAAAATGTGAGTTCCATTGCGAGTTACAAAATAATTTTATTCCTGTAGCAACGTACAGGTGTCACAGTTGTACATGTTAAATTTGAATTGTCATCGACAACGTCAACAATATACTTATGAAAGATTTCCTGCCAACATCGACTTCATCGAAGATATTATGGACAAAAACAAGCACCTCGACATATTGAAGAATAAATTAATTATAAACGAAGCAAACCTATATCTTAATTATAAACGAAGCAAACAAGTTCATTTTCTTTTTCACCTGATGTACCGTTTACTGTAGTTAACAAAGATATAAAATTTATTTCACTAATGCGTTGTGAGTAACGAAAATAATCGGACGCTCTCGAATGAAAAGTGTGACACGTAAAAAATGTGAGTTCCATTACGAGTTACAAAATAATTTTATTCCTGTAGCAACGTACAGGTGTCACAGTTGTACATGTTAAATTTGAATTGTCATCGACAACGTCAACAATACTTATGAAAGATTTCCTGCCAACATCGACTTTATCGAAGATATTATGGACAAAAACAAGCACCTCGACATATTGAAGAATAACTTAATGCAACGTGCTGTAAAAATGGGAATTTACGCCACATTTAAATTTTATCAGGACAATGACCCTAAGCTGAGAATTTGCAGGAATTTCAGCTTTACAACTGTCCTAAGGTTTTACATCCCCCACCGCAATCACTTGAATCCCATAGAAAATCTACACGTACAAAAGAAAAATTGAAAAAGAGACTGCAAGAGGAATGGCAACGTACAAGTGCAGAATACTCGACAAAAATTATCTATAGTATGCCCAAACGTTTGAGGCATGCCCTAAATCAAAAAGGTTATGCTACGAAATATTAAAATTCTGACAAAAATCATAAAAGATGCGTAAAATATTAGCATTTAAAACATGTTTTATTCTAGTGTCCGAATATTTTTGTTGCGTAGAAATCAGGTATTATTTCATTCAATTATTTATAAAACTGTCATTGACGCACATTGGTGCAATAAATTTTATATCTTTGATTGACTATAATAAATCACACATCAAATAAACACAGAAAATAAACTTGTTTGCCACATAAATAATTAAGATTTATATCGACTCATTGAAACATACCTCGATGTCCGAATATTTTCGTTACCCACTGTACGTGTGTTTTTTTTTTTTTTTTTTAACAACGTAACCTTAAATGTTAGAAATGGGCACTTTATCTTTATTATTCCCTTCTTTTGCCAACGAGCGAGTTAAAGACGCAAGAAATTTGCTCCAAGGAGTGAAAATGCGTGGACAATGGGTTGCAAATTGCACGAGTCGCAGCGTGTTATTACAAGTGACATTACATTGAAAACAAAAAGGGAGAAAAAACGCGGGGAAAGCGTAAAGGCAGTTGGAAAGTGGGAAAGATGGTGGGTTGGGTAAAGAGAAAAGATGGTCGAGGGATTCGAGCGTCCGAGAAGGCAAGCTCAAAAACATGACCGTAATTACTGGACCCTTTGTTCCGCGGCTAGAGAACCTGAACTCTTGAAAACACCACCGTAAATCCCGGTCCTGATCCTGCGATATTCATGCTATTCGCGAACCAATCGTTTCAACATAAATCTAACATAAATAAATCGTCTAACGTAAATCTTTCACAGAGACTACGAGTAACAATAAGGTGGAAACGAACGAAGTATAATATTTCGATACGCCCGGACGTTAGATCCTTTAACTTCCAAGGATATCCATGGAATCGATATAACACCGCGATGATGTTACGTCCTGCCTTCCGATCCGCGTGATATGAAAACGCACCATG